AGTTTGTCTGTATCCCTGCCAAAGGAAACAGTGTGCCTCTTCGTTTTCGGAGCATATCGTTACTTCGATCGCTTACTTCAGCCCAGTAATATTCTCAAGCTTAATGAAGAAGAACTCTTGGTTACTGCGTCCAACCGTAGTATTAATAGGCAAGATTAGCAGAATCTTTCATAAAAAAATTGCTGGCCGCATTGCGAGAATAATAGTAACAGCAGCCATTTGCTTGGATCATAGCATGCTGGCTGATGAAAGTCAACCGTCGTATCCGAGGTTTCAGCGCGCACAGTCCCTGCATCAGGGTACCCGCAGCCGGTTCAGCGCTTTTCCAGCTCATGCAGATCTCTACCGACAGTCCATTACACCCGTCCTGGCAAAACCTCTGAAACAGTCAAAGTTGCTAAAGCAGTTGTCTGTGTATTACATTCTGATTTGCCATTAACCTTCCGTTTATATAAATTTCATGGGTCTGTATAAACTTTAAGTAACGAATGCATTTATGCTGATGCCAAAACCATAACTTTACATGCCATGGCGAGCTTCCGAAATCTTGTGCGATATTAAGTACGTGAGAAATATGGTTGTCAGGTGCAATGATAGCCAAGCATAGTAAAATCTGGTTAATTCGAATTTTATTAGAAATTGCCTTAGAATTTTTCTATTAAATAAACATGCAGAATTAATCATTCTTTACAGTGAAGTCTGAATAATCTCTGTGATAAATCTTACTCTGTTAGATATATTTTCAGAATTGAGTGCAGAATTTTAATTATCTAATAAAGTGAGCAGCAGAAATGTTAACTTTCACGGTCTCAGCTCAGGGTAATGTGGCTAAAGTATGGTATAAAAAGTCATTGAAATCGCCAAATGTCAGACAAAACTTCATCTTCTTCATCTTCATAATCTATAATCGCTTATCCTTTCGGATGGCGGAGACAGACGCATCAGACAGTGCTTTCAACGGCCTCGATCCTCTGCCTGAGTTTGAGCTTCGGCAGAAGACGACTGTGACCTATGGCAGACTCCCTCGATATATTTGCACCAGGTGAATCTTGGCCGTCCCCTGGGCCTTCTGCTGGTCGGTTGGGCAAGAAATTATTGTTTCGCCTTCCTTTCTAGAGGCATGCGCTACACATGCCCAAACCATCGCAGCTGTCACTCAGTCTGAAGAAACATCGGCTGCACACCAAGGTTCTCACGGTTGTCTGAGTTCTGGATCACGTCGAGATGCATAAGGCCAGCGACTCGTCTAAGAAAGCCCATTTCATCAGCTTGTATCCTTGCTCGACGCTTTAATCATCGTCCAGACTCATGACCGTAGGGAAGCATGGGGATTAAGATCGACTTGAACACCCAGAGCTCAGTTTTCAGACAGAGCGCTGCTTTAGTCACAGTGGATTTGGCTAGTTCACGCAGAACGCCACTGGCTACTCCAGTTCGCCTGTTATGTATTACTCAAATTTTTCATCACCAGTTAACCAATGGTGCTAGAACTTCTGTTAATCTGGAAAGAGCAACGGCCAGAGGAGCGAGAAAACACTAAGCGTTACGTTCTAGATGCGGAAAGAACAAGGCCTAGCTTTAAAATAGGCACTAATTTTGCCTCTTAGTATCTTCTGATTCCGTAGTGCGTCGCGTGACTGTCATATTGGTTTATTCCTGTGATAATTTGAAATATATGTCATATCATGTTATGGTTGTTTAGGGTGGAAGCTAGCTCTTCCAACCGATGCTGCCGTCATATAGCGCAGTACGTACCTGTATAAATCGTTATATTTTTCCTTGTGAACACTAAATAATATAAGTCGTTGATGGACGTATAAACTAAATACGTTCGTTATTTTACGAATGTCAAGTTAGTCAGTTTCCACGACCGCTTATCCTTTCGGGTTGCAGACACAGACGTCTCCAACTTTCTCAATGTTGTACCACCGTTTACGCTTCGGCAGAAGATAACTCGAGTCTGCAACAGAGCACGTAGAGACACCTGTCTCAGGATATTCCTGACTGGGTCAGGGTCTTCAGCCTGTCGGTTTGACAAGTAGTAATTGCTTGACCTTCCTTTTTATTTGCCCAGACAATCTCAGCGGTGACTCCTCAATCTGAAAAATCAGCGGTAAGTATATCTCTTCCGACCGTTTCGAGACATGTAAGCCCAACGATTCGTCTCTGGAAGCCCATTTCAGCCGCTTGTACCGAGTACCAAAGTTTTTCAGTCATGGCCCATGACTCATGACTTTAAGTGAACATTTTGA